GTTCAGTACGGCCGTATTGGGCTTTTTCCCTCCACTTCTTTATTTTGAGCTATTCTAAGACCTCTGGACCTACAGAGAACCCTCCTAGGGCCTTCGAGGAGTCCTTCTGGCTGATTATCCTTCAGTCTTCGAGAGTCTTCAAGCTTTATTTCCGACCCGGACAATTTTAGGGGTCTACAATCATAAATCTTGGGATGACTATTTACCATACATTAACTTTGCCTATAATAGGGTAGTCTATAAAACTACCAATATTTGTCCTTTTGAGGCTGTTTATGGGTTTAATCCTTTAACTCCAGTATAGTTGATACCCCTTCCTAATGTTAGTCATTTTATACATAAGGAAGGTGCTTCAAAGGCTGATTTTATAAAAAAAATTACATGAAAGGATTAAAACTCATATACAAATTCAAAATGAGAAATATGCTAAGTCCAACAATAAAGGCAAGAAACCAATGATCTTTGAGGAAGGTGATTGGATTTGGCTTCATCTTAGAAAAAAAAAAAAGTTTTCCACAACAATGGAAGTCCAAACTTAGTCCCCAAGGAGATGGACCCTTTCAAGTACTACTGCGTATCAATGATAACTCTTATAGGCTTGATTTACCCTCTGATTATGGTGTGAGCCCAACTTTTAATGTTAGTGATTTACTACCTTTAGTAGGGGCTAGTGATGATGAGCATGACTCCTTAGATTTGAGAACGAATCCTTCTCAAGAGGGAGGGGATGATGGAAGAGCATGGACCAAAGGTCCAACCACTAGAGCTATGGCCAGGAGACTACTTGAAGATTTAACTGCTTCAAAGCTTAATGGGCCCAATGGGCTTGGTGGGCCCAGGGTTCTCTTCACTTGGGCTTTACATGATTGACCACCTTTATTGCATATTGTGTAGTGTAGGATTTCATTTTGTTTGGTCTTGTATTATGGACCTTAGTATAGGACTTTTTGGGCTTTAGGCTTATTGGGCCTAGTTTTGTGCTTCATGAGCCTTTAGGCCTCTGGTACCCAATATTGGGCTCATTTTAATCCTTGAAATTTTTCCTTTATATTGTATTTGATTGGCCATTGTATTTAGGCCATTAGATTAGGATTATAAGAGGAATTCAATTAGAGGACTAATAGGCTTAGTCTAAATTTAATTTAGGAGTCATTTGACTTGAATTTGGTTCACATGGTTTAAGCCTTGTTAGTGTTGAACATGTGCGCCTAAATTCACATCAAATAGATCCTAAATTAAATCTAGATGAAGATAAAAAGGCTATGGAAATTAGTTGCAGATATGGAAGATGATGAGCAACCCAAAAAACTCTCTTGGCCTCCTGAAGTATTTAACATGTCTAGTAAAGTACCTCTATATATAAGTCAGAGTGATATATCAGAGATTACAAATGGTCATTGTATGCTAAACATATCAATTTTGCTGTTATGGTTGTTGTAAGTATTTAAATTACTTTTAATTATATTTTGTTGATTTTGTCAAACATTATTTCTAACATTATTTCTAACGTTGTAGATTTATCCATAAATTGAGCGTGGATAAGGGAAATGATCACATATATGGATTTTTGGAGCCTGAGTCAATCCAAAAAAGTGGGAACAAAGTCGAAGAAATACAAGCTTACATTCAAAATTGGATGTTCGACTCAAATAAAAAAGTTTACTTGGCCCCTTATTTTTCTGAGTAAGTTTAATTTTATATAATTAAATATAATTTTTTATAAAAACTATTTTTTCTATTACTCATAATTTCTTAATGCAGTGCTCATTGGCAACTTTTAGTTATTTGTCCTATGGACAACATAGCTGTCTGCATTTGCTCGTTGCATAAACCTCCTCCTATGGATTTTAGACAATTATTAGATAGGTAAATTGTTTAAAAATATCTAATTTTTTTTATTGATTATCATTACATTTGACTTTACGCTAATCATAATGTCATTTTATTATTAGGGCCATGGAAGGATATCATATACTTAAGGGTTCAAAGATGAAGAAAAAAATGAGTTGGGTCTCTCCTAAAGTAAGATTTTAATTCTAGCAATGATATTTTTTTTAAGTAATTTAGTAATTTTTTAAAATTACTGTTCTATTGAAATTGATTTTATATTCTTTTTGCAGTCTCATAAACAAAAAGGAAATTATGAGTGCGGATACTATGTAATGAAGACAATGCATACTATTGTCGATTCACAAATAGTATCTGGGTGGACTGAAGTAAGTTTTACAATTTTGAAAGTTTTTGTTTTAGGTTCTCATTCTATATATTTTATGAATTATTACTAATTATTTTAATTTTTCTTAACAGATATTTATAGATCGATCACCATTGCCGCTAGAAGACATAAACATCATTAGGGAGCAATGGGCCACATCTTTTATTGACCATTACTTTAACTAGTTTGGGCTTATGTTTTATAGTATTACTTTAACTAGTTAGAACTTACATTTCATTGAGCATTATAGTCTATTTTATGTATTAGATGTATTTAAAACTATTCAATTATATATATGATTAACATTTATCATCTTGTCAATTGTATGCGATTTGTGCTTCTTCATTGAGAAAATATTTTGAATTGTCTGGTTTTTCTGCAGGTTTTTTGTTCTGAGGTGCTCTCAAAACAAATCAAACATACAAAAAAAATCACTACTTTTAAGATCGGTTCTGCCATAACCGATTTTAAAAGTAGACTTTTAAAATCGGTTATGTAACAACCGATCTTAAAAGTATAGACTTTTAAAATCGGTTCTGTAACAACCGATTTTAAAAGTCAACACTTTTAAAATCGGTTGTCACATAACCGATCTTAAAAGTATAGACTTTTAAAATCGGTTCTGTAACAACCGATTTTAAAAGTAGACTTTTAAAATCGGTTGTTACAGAACCGATTTTAAAAGTCGATACTTTTAAGATCGGTTATAAAATAATCGATCTTAAAAGTCTACTTTTAAAATCGGTTGATAACCGATCTTAAAAGTCTATCTTTTCAAAATCGGCTCTTTTAAGATCGGTTCAATAACCGATTTTAAAAGTCTAAAATAACCGATTTTAAAAGCCTTTTTTCCACTAGTGTGATCAAATATTATTTGTCCATGTACGAAAATCGAAGCCCAAAGCATTAATAATTGTTGCAACTATTAATACATTGTTTGTAACATTAGGAGTAGTTGTTCCTCTAATAAGTGAATTTGACATGTGTTCCAAATTTAACAGTCAAATGATCTAAATGGGCCCCAAAGCGCAAGATTCCAATGACAGAAATGTGGCTTTTAGCTTAACAACAAACACACTAAGGTCATCTCTACCGTCATTTTCCCACCGCCCACATCTTCATTCTTCAAGCATTCCTACTCCTACCGCTGAGAATCTGAGAAAGTTCCACTCTTACTCAATATTACATGAGACTAAGACAACTTGTCCTTAAATATATTTTTAATTTTTTAAATTTAGGATAAATTTATTTTTATCCTTCAAATATAAAATTATTATTTTTAATTCTTGTAATTTTAAAAAAATTTCTTTTAATTTTTATATTTAAATTTTGTTAAAAATTTTATTAAATATTATTACATAAAATTTACCTATTAATGTCCTTATTAATGAAAACATCATATTAAATCTAATTGATATTGTTTAACCATCTTAATTTATCACTTTTAGATATGTTATTGTTGATCTAAGGGATTAAAACAAGATTTTTGAAAATTTTAAGAGCTAAAAACAATAGTTTCAAATTTGAGGGACCAAATATAAATTTATCTTAAATTTGAGGGACTAAAAATATATTTAAACCTTTTAATTTACTTATAACTATTGTTAAATAAAACTAATTAGATAATGATAACTAATGTATTTTATGTTTGTGTTATTTTTAAAAATTTTAAATTATTATATTATTAATATGAAATATTTATCAACTTTATCAATAACTTATAAAATATATATTTAATGAAAAAATTAATTTCATATAAAAGTAACAAAAAAACATAGGTAATATATAATTATAAATATATTAAATGTTAAGTTTAAATAATTTAAATTATTATATATAATTTGAGATTTTTTTGTATAGTTTAATTATTATGATTATATATATATATTATGTAATAAATTTGAAATTTATTTATAACAAATTAAATGAAATATATTATAACTTGAGATTTATTTTATTATTTAGGTATATTAATTTATGTGGATCCTTTAGATATTGAGAAAAAATTTGTTGGAAGAGGTATCCAAATAAATATGTAATTTTTCTTTTCTTTTATTTTTATTACTTTGACGAGCTTGCCAATAGGATGGGTTAGAGTGTCCAGCTTGTTTTCACTTGACGAGCTAGCCTAATCCAACCTGTTTTTGGCAAGTTGGCAGCAGGGTAAGCCTAAAAGGGTTGAATTAGTCCATTTTTCATCTTGAATTTTTTTTAATGAAGAATCAATTATTTTCTTAGTTTTATTATTACTTGTTTTAGTATGTCTAAAAGTTCAACATTGTTTAAAAGTTAAAGCCAAAGGTTGTTTATAAACATTTTCCTTGAACCCTCCCTTAATCTATTAATGTATCTTTTCAAGGATAAAATTGTGATAGTTTAACAAGCATCAAAGTAGATAATACCTTGAATATGATAACCCTAATAATATTAGCACCTAAGGTTGAAATATTAGCTCTAAAAGGAGGGACTGTGTCACTTTTGTCCCTTAACCTCTGTTGGCACTAGTGCAAAAATTGGATTTAAAATCGGAGTTTTAAGATCTGTTACAAGGTAACCGATCTTAAAAGAGAGGTGGTGGCAATTTTGTAAATAATATGAACACTTTTAAAATCGGTTAAATTTTAACCGATCTTAAAAGTACTTTTAAGATCGGTTATTTTATGACCGATTTTAAAAGTGTTACTTTTAGAATCGATTATTTAAGAATTGATTTTGTATACTACATACAAAATCAATTCTTAAATAACCAATTTTAAAAGTATCATCAGAAATCTTTTATCTTTACCTCCATTCTCATTCTCTTTGATCTTTCCCTCCATTCCTTTTTTTACTCTCTCGCGCTCTTATCTAAAGTCTCCAGCTTCTCATTCTCAAGGTAACATTCTCATGCTCTTATCGTGTCTCTAGTTTCGTTGTTGATTTATTCTACAAGGAGAACGGGCCGTTCTACAAGGAGAACGGGCCGTTCTACAAGGAGAACGAGCCGTTCTGGATTAGTTTGAACTCATGACAAACTATTCTGGAACAGCCCGTGTAGACGACATTTTTAGGCCATTTTAACAACCTGGAACGGCCCGTTCCAGTTTTAATTTTTAACAAAGCCCAGACTTTTAAGATCAGTTATAAAACAACCGATCTTAAAAGTTAACTTTTAAAATTGGCTCTTTTAAAATCGGTTAGAGAACCGATTTTAAAAGTTAAAAATAACCGATTTGAAAAACTTTTTTTCCACTAGTGTGGGTCTTGTTCTAGTAAGCTAACAAGTCTTATATTGTTTAAGTAGAGGCCACATTGTTTAATATCCTTCCTCCTTAATTCACTACAAGAAAAATCAGGATGAAAATTCATAGGTAAATGTCAATTATCTACGGAAAAAAATTTGTAAGTAATAAGGTCGTAGATAATGTTATCAACGTTACCTACGGAAAATTTTCCGTAGGTAACCCACGAAATTTTTATCTACGGAAGGTTTTCCGTAGATAACCCACAAAAATTGTTATTTAAGGATTTTATCTGTATATAACCTTCAAAAAAATTGTTTAATTTTAATAATTTATTAATGTAACAACCCTCATCATTGATCTCTCAAGAATGTTATTTCATGACAGTTCACTTTTCAACGTGTTTTGTCCTTACTGCACATTTTCTGGGAAATTTCCCAGAAGGTCACCCATCCCTATATTACTCCAAGTTAAGCACGCTTAACTATGAAGTTCTAATGAGTTAAGTTACTTAAAAGCAAATGCAAGTTATTAGTATAAATAGTACAAATTAATTCATTTAAGTCATCATCAACTATACAATCTCATACTTATATTATTTTTAGATCCCTCTCATTTTGGTATGTCCAGACCGCTATAAAATAAAAATATATATAATAATTATATTACCAATTAAAATTAATATTATGATACAATTTAAATTATTTATTATAAATTTAAAAGTTTAAATAATAATTTATATATTTTAAAATGATAAGGGCTATAATAACATCGGTGTAACTTTTACTAGGTATTACACTACTCAATAACTTTATATTAAATGTGAATTTTGTAAATCCAAATGTTAGATTGAAAGTTTATATCACTTTATATGTTTATATAAAATTTTGTTAAAATTGAACAACAACTTGAAGGTAATCAAAGTGTTCATATTTTAGTATATTTTGAAATGTATATATTATGTCAATTTTATTTTACAAGAATGAAGTATCAAATCATCTTGAATTAATATAAAATTTTGTATATATGAGCTAAGAGTAAAAACACTTTCAATCTAATGGTTGAATTTATAAAATTCACATTTAATATAAAGTTATTGAGCGGTGTAATACTTAGTAAAAGTTACACTAATATTATAACCCTTCTCTTTTAAAATATTATTTTTATAAATTAAATTTTAACATTTAAATAAATTATTAATTAACTTAATATATTTATTCATCTTAAATCTAAGATATAAAATTCAAAAATATATTTATTCTTGTTTTATTTTCTAATTATCGGTCATTAATAAAATACTAATTTAAAATCTTATCTAATTATATCATAATATTTTCATATCAAATTTAAAACTAGATATTAGTATGTTATTTTTTTATCACCATTAACTTATAAAAATAAAAAATTTAAAATGACAATTTTTAATAATATTTATTTTTGGTCAAATATTTTTTTCATCATTTAGAGCATAAAATTTTTTGCCCTGCATCCCGCCAAAAGCATAAAAGTTTTCCGTAAATAATCCACGAAAGTTGTTATCTACAGAAAGTTCATCCGTATATAATGTTATCTACGAAAAGTTTTTCGTAGATAACTCACGAAAGTTGTTATCTACGGATTTTATCCGTAAATAACATTATCTACAGATAATTTTCCATAAATAAAGAACCAGCTGCATGTTAAATGTTGAACACCGAGAGTTACCACACATATATATACATGTTTCTACATTAATAAGATATTATTCACTTTAGGACTGGTTCTTACAGTTGTACTTTTAGATACCACTCAAAAAGTCTCTCTACAAGAAAATAATTGTGTATATAAACTTATATTCATCTTCTTGTTTGAATGATGTAGGATTTTGCTTGCATCCCAACATCAAGCAACCTCGGTATCACCATCACTGTACATCGTCTTTGTCTTTGGTGTTGTTGTCTCGTGGTGCAGCTATAGTCGTGGTTGTCCCAAGTAGAGAT